TAACTTCCAAGTTCTCAACATCAAACACATGTTAATCAACAGAGTTCAGATTAGAACTAAGATTTTTCTGACTTTACATCCTGCTTTATGTACTGTGCTATGTTGTCTTAATATTAAAGGGTGTTCCTCCCAGGTGGTCATGTTTCCAATGAGAAGAAGGAGTTATGCCGTGTCAATGGTCTGACTCTGGGGAACAAAAGCACCCAACTCCTCCCCTTGGTCCATTAGGGGTGCCATATGCAGGCGATTAGAATGAGAGGCATCTGCTATCAGTCTGAGAGAAGCAGTGTGTAGTAAAGAAATTGATTGAAAGAATGAAGCAGTTTGAAGGCATAAAGGAGGAATTTGACTCTAATGGATTGAAAGTCTTTGAAGAGACAATTAAAAAAAAAAAAACCAAACTATTGGCAGAACCTACTGGAGAGCAGAGAGTAATGAGAATTAGATGTAAGTTGAATAGCAGTGAGTGTTCAGGGAGTTGTCTCAATGGCACTCCACCCCCTCACCTCCCAACATCTCAGGGTACATAACGTGGGTAAGGGAAGCTGTGGTCTGGAGATGTTGGTGGCTTGAGTGTGACTTTAGCAAGAGGTGCTCTTATTATGGTTCTTGAGAAAGTTATCATGTGCTTTTAGAGGAGCTCAATCTTGATGTTTCAGAGAAAATTAGAAGGTGACAGATTGAGGTCATTGCCCCGATTTCAAAGGGCGTTCGCAGATTGCTGAGTCCCTTATAGGAACCTTGAAAGACTCCATGGAAGTCAGGTTTAGAATCTCGAATATAGAGCTGAAATCAGTATTGGAGTAGCTTGTGGTGGATGTTGGCATGGAGGCAAATTTGTTTTTACCCAGGTTGTTAGTCTCTTCTATGCTCTACTAACTTTCTTGGCAAAATTTAATTTTAGAAAACTAATGGCAGTGCTATTCCCCAGACTCCAAGGAACAGCTTTGTCATCCTCCACCTCCAGCCAGCCGTTAATGGGACACTAATATATTTTGACATAAAGGGACACAATTGAATTACTTGGCTTTCATTTAATCTCTGTGTACACTCCCCCATGTTCTAGTTGTCTGTTTTCATGTTATTAGTTGGTCTGTAAAATACCAGATGGGAGAAGATCCAGGAGAATCACGACACCAGCCAGGCTAGACAATTTCCCTCGGAGGAAGCCCAGCAGCTTGTCTGAAGTGTCTGGGGAGGTTCCTGTATGTGCCCTCAAATTCTTCCAATACCTGGCAGCAGTAGATGCTATTGTTCATTAGCAGAACCTTATCTAGGAGAGCAATGTTCAGAATAATAATTAAGCTGATAATAGCTAATATCTATTGAGTACTTGCAATGTGCCAGGCCTTTTGCTAAGCACATCACCTGTATTGACTCATTTAATTCTCATAATATCCATATGAGGTAGATGCTGTTATTATCCCCACTTTATCTATGAGGAAACTGAAGCACAGAGTTTCCTGATTAACCAGTAATAGAAAGAACTTGGCTGCAAATTCCAGGCAATCTGACTTGGAATCTGAGCTCTTAACCACTTTGCTGAGCTGCCTCCCATACCTACTGTTTACACCAGAGTCCAGAATAATTCAAAGGGGTTTTCCATCATGGACCCTAGGATTGAATGCCCTAGAATTTGCTGATGGGCCTCATCTGGGGCAAAATTTGATAGCGGGCCAAACACCAGGTACCCTAGTCAGAAGAGAGGGTTTAAGTAAACTGCTGCCAGTGGGAAAGTGGGATGTATTGTAGATTGTTGGGAGATGATGGGAGATGAGAGCAAGAGAGTAAATGTGTAGGGAGGTGGAGGGGAGAAAGTGACAAGTGGTTAGTGAGAGTCTCCATTTTTTTCCACCTTGCTTAGCTGGCTATTCTAGAGATGAAGTGAAATAATATGTGAATTCATTTGGGATCCTGAAAGTTCTATTCAAATGATAGTTCCTGTTGTATGTCCACGGTGTACCACCTATAAGTCAGGAAGATGGATGGGAGGCAATGGTGTGTGGTTGGAATCAGCAGGCACAGATGAGAAACTTGGAGGTAGAAGCAGGCGGACAGGGAGCAGGCACTGATGGATTTTGAGAAAGGTGGTCCATACTGGTTAGCGGATGAGGAGGAGGGGTACAATGACTGGTCTGCAGGCATTCTCTGAACCCTATTTCCCACTCCACAGCTACTGCTGTACCCAGGTCTTAGCTTTGGTACCTCCAGCCCACTGGAGAAGACTAGAGCTCACTGCCATATAATCTATTGTTATCTCAAAAATTGTTTAGGTAGAGCTCTTTCAACCTCTGTCCTCCCTCATCTGCCATTACAGAGTATGATAGGCCACCACATTCTATAGTTCTAGTTTCCCTCTTATCTGCTATGCTTGAAGGAAAATATTTGCAAATTACAATCTTTTCACGTCACTGGGGTGAAAATAAAAAAAATAAAATAAAAAAATAAATTTTTTTGAAAATAAAAACATCAGCCCCCTCTTAATTTGGGGATAAGCGTTTGGTACAAACATTGTATGGTCACTCTGTTAATCATTTAAATTCTTTCCTATCTACTCACATCTAATACCTAACACTCTTTGCTATAGTTCTTATTTTTACTCTTGTCCTGAGTTGTCATTTATTTACCTATTGACATACTTTAAAAATAATTAGATTATTTTTCTAAAAATGATCTAAAAATGATTTATTTTCTAAAAATGAAACTCAATGTAAAACAATCCCCAAATCCCCTCATGTAGGCATAACCACTTGGAACAGCTTGTTGAACATTTTCTCCGGACACTTCTCTACGTCTACAAACTCTTAAATTCCACAATTTGCATGAAGAAGATTATGCCATATAACTTTCCATGGCTTTTTTTCACTTAATATGTTGGAGTCAGACTTCCCTCTAGATAAATGTATATCTACACACTTATTTGTAGTATTTGCCCAGTATTCTCTTGTTTAAATGTACCACAGTTTACTCAGCCATCCCCTTGTCAATTGTTTATTGATAAAGAATAAGTCTAAGCACCATATAGAGATCATCTGACTCTGTTAATCCAGGCTCTATGGCTTTGCTGTCAAATCCCTGGGATTTTGGGCATCATATCATAGAAGGAGCATGAAACCGATGAGTGAGGAGTCCAAGGCTCTGCTCCCAGCTCTGCCACTTAGTAGTTATGTGACCATTAAATCATTTTACCTTTCTGAACCTCAGTTTCCCTATGTGTAAATGATGATGTGGGTATGCATGATGCTTAAGATCTGTGCTACTAATTTACAAATATGCTGTCAAACCATATCTCCCATCACAATTTAAATACTTATGTCAATTTTATTTATCAATGCCTGTTCAATGTCTGGCACAATGTCCAATATCAAGTAGATACTCAACAAATATATACTGACTGCATGGACCTATGCAACTATTGAATCTATCTACTCAACTTTCCCTCAGAAATATCCATCTTGTGGTTTTATATTGGCTTAGTTTTTAATCCAGTGAACCTCAGACTTTTTTATGTGTCCACCATCTCTCTTTAGAATTTGTGCACTTATATCTCAATTTCTCTGTGTGTCTGTGTAGTCAGGAGAGAGAACTATGTATAGATGTGTACATATGTATCTATAGTTGGAGATATATTTGTTATTTTGGAGATGAGTAGAGGGGAGCCTATATGGAGGGAGTTACTATACTTTGCCCTAAAATGAGATTTTGGACAAGAGAATGAAATTAAATTATTCCAAAGTTGCACTGAAATTAAGTGTGTGTGTGTGTGTGTGTGTGTGTGTGTGTGTGTGTGTGTTTGAGGTGGGGCTAACAGTACCCTGATGATATTTTTAAAGTATCACTCCCTCCTTCCATCTATCTTTTTCTTTTTTTTCCCTTCGCCCTCCCGCCTCTCTTTCCTTCTTCCCTCCCTCACTTCCTTCCTTTTTTTCTTTCTTCTCTTTCTCTCTTCCTTTCCTTCCTTTCTCTCCTTTACTAAAATGAATTGAGGAATAATGCTATTCTTTCTACTTTAGTCAATGGTGACTTTTATCCCATAATATAAGAATGAAGAAGCAGTCTTCTATTTGAGAATATTCTTGAAACCAATGAAATCTAAGGGTAAGATAATATTCAAGGACAAGTGGCGATTGTTTTATATTAATATATTGAAGACCTGTGTTGATCCATAGTGGTGATGATGAAAATTGTTTCACTCAACTAATGCCCATGATTAAACTGTTTTGAAAATATTACTTAAGAGCAACCGGGGAATCTAGGTAAAGACATTCTGAAGGAGAACAGGATGCTTCAGAAAGTTTGGTACTACTCCTTTTAATTGTTTAATCTGGATCCTAAACTCATTTGGATTGAACTCTTTTAAAATGAATTACATACTTCATTCCCTTCCTAAAGAAAGTACATTGTACATATTTTAAAATTTTTTCTTTGTTTTGGGTTGCTTAGAGGCACCGTCAGAGGCATTTGTTGTAATATGCTTTGACTGAGAGGTGCTCTCAGAGACTGTTGAGGCAAGTAGAACTATTTCAGTCTCAGTCCTATGCTTTGTGGATTCTTAGTCTGCTTTGTATAGTTTTTTTGTCTCTTCTGAGGGTCCAGCTGCCGTGTTTGGCTATTATGAGCGTGTTTACCTAGAGCAGTTCTTTACAGCTCTGTGCAACTTCTCACTATTTCAGATTAACTGCATCTAATTTATTGTGGAACTAAACACATGATCTTATTAGAAATTTTAATAAGTTAATACCAAATATGAAATGAGTAGTCTCCAGAGGCGTTTTCTGCTTATTTCCACGTTCGTACTTAAATTCCAGAAACTTGAGGTTTCTAGAGAATTGTTCTTCAGATAATTGCCGCGTTCTGGTAAAGAACCCACCATTCTGCTTTGAATGTGAACTTTTCCTCTAAGCACGAAGAGACGATATTGCCTTTAGTCCCTCCAGGTGCATGTGACCACCAATTCCATCCTCTCATTTGTGTCTGACTACTCGGTTCTTGTTTTGCAGTCCCCAGTCTGTCCCAGACCGCCTGAGGATCCGGGTGAACAAAATCAGTTTACAAGACTATGAAGGATTCCACTATGACAAAGAGAAACTCCGGGAAGCTTGTAAGTTGGAAGTGCCTAATTGATTATATGTAATCAGCCTCTCATCAGCTTCTTGGTCCTCCTTGGTTTGATGGATAGATTTGTCTTGTGTTTGAAAACCAAGGTTAGAGAAATGAAGGGAAGTGTAGTAATATATGAGCCCCACTTGAGGATATATGGGCTGAAGGAGATGGAACGGGAAAAGGAAAGCAACAGAATGAAATTATTCTGCTGAAGATGCGATGTTAGGATCTCTTGGTTCATTAAGCACTTTAGTCTCAGGTTTATCTAAAAAGAGAAAGCAGAAAGATGGTTACTATACCACATGGTATAGTAACATCTAGAAAACTCTGGAGACAGCACAAATCTCCTGGAGCCTGCATTACCAAATACAGGCAGATGTGACAAAATTATCCATGAAGACATGCCCAACACTAGTAGCTATCATGTGATTATGTGATGTCAAAGAATGTCATGATAAAGTGATTAATTGATGATAAGGTGCCATTGTTTCTGAAATCTTAAATTGAGCCAACAAATGAATTACTTCTCAATGTCCGTATTTTCCATATGCTTTTTAGAATATGTAACTAATTTTTAGTTCACCTTGTTCATTATTCAGTATTTATTGGGTACTTTTTACATTCAAGTCACTATTTTAGATCCCTGTCTATATCATAATATATGAGGTAACTGGGTAAAGTAGGCCAGAAGATATTGAGACCACAGGTGTGTTAGATATTAGGGTTCTGGGTTTCCTTGTAATTGTGAGGGCCAATAGTTAAGTGCAATAAAGTCAGAGAAGAAGAGAGCCAATGTCCAAAGGCACGGGCAGGGATGCCAACAGAAAGAAAGGTGTTTTCTATAGAACCAGAGATTTATGAACTAAAACCCCCAACTGGCTCCAAGTGTGGACCTACCTGGAGTTGTAGAAGATGCAAATAGTTAAAACTGGCAGGAGTGGAGTAGGGGACACATTCCTGGGATAATGACTTCTAAGCTCTGCTTCCTGATCCTGTGATCTGGAGTAGGGTTTAGTGGATGGAAATCCTGAAATCCAGGAAAAGTCTCAGGTGGATGCAGGGACTTTGGGATCTGGAGGTGGCAGCAAGCAAGGATCCATTTCCCTGGTAGCCTGATTACCGAACCTACCAGGGAGTTCTGTGTGAAACGTCTGCTTTCTCTATTTCCTCTGCTGCTTCAGTTTCCTCAACCCTTTTGGTTCTTTTCCTTAAACATCAGTAGCCTTTAGTTTCTCACTCTGTCCTTCCCTCTCATTTCCTTTGGTAGGAAAGTTTGAGGTGGAGGAGGAGCAATTCCCCGAACTTCTGCATTTCTCTTTCTGTAAATGACAGATTATATTTTCTAGTGTAAATGAGATTGTAAGGGACAGTCTAGCACAGAATCTAATTTAGCCCATAATGTGATGGACATACCTGTTTGCAATGAGAGGTGAAGCTACAATGTAAGTTGAACTGACTGTTAGAGGTTAGTAATTATAAAGAATAGGGTTTTGTGCTTTTTCTCTTTCAAACTTCTAAACAAATAGCTTACAGTTTTGAAAAATAAAGAGACTGGCTGTCAAGTTAGTAACGTTTTGCAGCTTACCATTGAGTCTGAAGAAAGTCAGTTGGGAATGGGGAAGCGTTCGAAATTTTTGGCTGAAATAAGATTTGAGGCTTATCTGTGGATTTCAATGATTTGTTCTATCTTTTCTGTGGTGTTATGTGTCCACCATTGCCAGAGGTAACTGTGATTTCAGTTTTTACCAGAAGATGACAATTTCCTGGCAAGTGCTTTGCTCATCATATCTTACGTGATAAAACTTCTATGTGAGGAAACTTCTTATATCAAATTGGGGAAGGTGACTTTGTATAAGTCCAATAAATTCAGCCATGTCTTGGGGACTCAAGAGTTTTCTCATCCTAAATATTTGGGTTTGAAGAAAACAACATGTTAATTAGAAGTAAGAGTGGCTAACTCAGTCATTCTACTTTAATATATGATGATGATGCTTCTCACCTGCTTGCTCAGGAACGTTTGTCCCTTGGGGTTATGGATTTGTTTTACTCACTCTCACTCTTTTGCCTGGCTCTGACTTGGAACTGACTACAGATTCATCGGAAAGCTGGCAGGGCTGAAATTGAGTATAAAGGCAAAAACCAGTTCACATCTGTATGTGATGTGCATACCAAAATGGATATGCTATTTCAGAAGTGTTAATTAAATGCTTAGAACACATCTAGATGAAAGGGATTCTGAGACTGCACTCACCTGCACCCCAGCAGAATAAAGGGAGTGAATCCTCTTAGGTCATTCATTTATTGTCAGCATTCAGAGTCTAAACTAGAGCAGTACTGTGTTACTGGGTTTAAAAAATTAGTTCCCTCGGGGCCGGCCCCATGGCATAGCAGTTAAGTGCGTGTGCTCCGCTGCTGGCAGCCCGGGGTTCAGATCCCGGGCGCGCACTGATGCACCACTTGTCAGGCCATGCTGTGGCGGTGTCCCATATAAAGTAGAGGAAGAAGGGCACGGATGTTAGCTCAGGGCCAGTCTTCCTCAGCAAAAAGAGGAGGATTGGCGTGGATGTTAGCTCAGAGCTAATCTTCCTCACACACACACAAAAAAATTAGTTCCCTTTCTTGATGATACACTGAGTGACTCATCCAGAGAGCATGCAGCTGTTTGCCATCACTGTTTAATAGAATCTTTCTCATGTGTCTGGATCATTATTCATATTGGATTAAAGCTTGAATGTTTGTTGTCTAACAAAGCCCTGCTTCCATCTGTGAGGCAGGACTCCTTGATAATTACAGGATGGCAGCCCATTTAATTGCCTTGCTTATTTTAGCATAGAGGAAGGTGACTATACGCTTTCAAATACTTCCCATCTCCCTTCCATTTAGCCCCAACTCACCTGGGGGCATTCCCCCTAAAATAATAGCAGGAGGAGAGTTGGTCTTTGCCAGTCCCTCTCTCAGCTCTTGCTGGTAAATTCCAGACTTACTTAACAATGTCTTATTCACTGGATTTATGAATTGTTAACCTTCAGGTTATGGTTATGATGTCCAAGATGGGAAAGTCTATTCAGCTTAAGAGTAGAACATAAAGAGAAAGTGGCCATGTTAAAAAAAATTCTTAAAGTAAATTTATAATAATGATTTAAACTCACTCCCATAAGCTGAATGAAGTATGTAAATGAGTCCTAATAAAGCATGTAATCATATAGTCTAGGCAAAGGGTAATCCATTTTTGAAAATCTGTTGTATTTCTAACTTCAAAAGAGTTTCCTTGCTATATGACATATAGTTTTATGTCTAGAATAACTTGATACTGTGCAATATTTAACTCTGTCCCACGTAAATTGGCTAAACTTTACTTCTGACGTTAGCTTTCTCTGCATTTTTGTATTGTCATGATAATTCATACCAGTCTAGGGCCTAAAACACAAGAGTAAAGACTAGTTTGGAACTCATTGAAAACAGATGTAGCCTACAAAGGTAGGAGGAGACTAGCATTTGTTGTATATCAAATATAGTGTTCAACCCTTTTACGTACATTATCTCAGTGTAATGGATATTACCTGGATGTTTATACTGTGTAGCTATACAATGTATAATATATAATATCTCACTATATTACTCTCAGGTAAAGACTAGAAATATTAGGATTGTGCCCTAGGCAATTGCCTTTATGGAATTTCCTTGTCTTTTGTTTACTGACTTAGTAGAAGTCAGAAATGTTTGTTTTTGAAACTCAGTTGAAAAGTTGACAAAGTAGTTAATTTCTCTGATGACCAAATCTTTCATCTCTAAAATAAGAATATGATTGCAACCTCATAGAGTACTGAGGGTTAAATGTAATCTTGTAAATGAAATGCCTGGTGCAAAGTCTGGTGCATTAGCATGCTCTCCAGAAATGGTAGCTGTGATTGCTGTGGTTGCTGTTGCTAAAGACACACTACTCTCACCCTGCTGCTCAATCTGCGAGTCCAAAAGCCAGGCTCAGAGTGGCCGACCTCTTCTACACATGGTTCTCACTTCCGAGCGCACACTCCACCACCCTCCAACTCACCTTCTCACTTTCAAAAATAGAATTGAAAACACTGATAAATATCACAGAAAGATTATGGGAAGAAAATCTAATTAATCATTCCATTTATTTTTATTGTGTCTACTAGTATGAGAGACTCCTCTGATGGCAAGATATTTAAACCTATGAAATGTGTAAACACTGAGTGCCCATATTTGGTGATCTGGCCAGATGTCTGCAAACTCCCTTTCTTCAGTCTTAAAACAGTCTCGTAAGTGCATCATCTGGTATCCATCACTGAATTTTTTTTTTTTAATTTTTATTTTGGAATAATTTTAGATGTACAGAAAAGTTGCAGAGATACTACTGGGAGTTCCTCTGTAGCGCTCACTCATAGATTACCATGGTATCTTTGTCAAAGAAACTAATATTACTTCATTACTATTAATTAGACGCTGGACTTTCTATTCCAGAATCCGGTCCAGGACATCACATTACTTTGGGGTGGCATGTCTCGCCAGTCTCCTCTGTTCTGTGACAGTTTCTCAGTCTTTCTTTTTATTATTATTTTTTCCATGACCTTGATGGTCTTGAGGAATGCTGGCCAGGTATTCTGTAGAATATCTCCCAATCTGGCTTTGTCTGTTGTTTTCCTCATGATTAGACTGGAGTTGTGGATTCTTGGAAAGAATCCTCCAGAAATGAAGTGCCCTTTGTTTTGTGTTTTTTTTTAATTATTTTATTGAGGTCATACTGGCTTATAACCTTGTGTACATTTCAAGTGTACATTATTATATTTCAGTTTCTGTATAGACTGCATCGTGTTCACCACCAATAGACTAGTTTTTATCCATCACCATACATATCTGCCCCTTTGCCCCTTTTGCCATTCCCCCACCCCCTGACCCCCTGCTAACCACCAATCTGTTCTCCTTATCCATGTGTTAGTTTATCTTCCACATATGAGTGAAATCATTCCATATTTGTCT